CCAAAGATGCCGACAATTCAACAGTACTTGGTTGGTACTTTTTAGATGCCATTTACAAGCACTGATTTTCTAAAAGCTCCGAAACTGAGGTAAAGCGAGGTGGTTGTCATTTTACTTATTGAAATGGGTTAGAATAGTTGTTGAATCATTAAAATCGATTCAAGGTTCTGATTGTTTATGTGGTGGTTCTTTCGGATGCTTGAATACCAACGTAAAGCCAAACTATTCAAAGAAAAACGGTTCTTCTAAGTTTTGTAAAAATTCCACGTCGTTATTCCGAGTGAAGTTTTCAACAACAACAAAATATGCGTTACCCGTGAAAAAAAATAGCTATTGCCTTTGTTTTTAGCCCCTTGATGGGAGAATATGCTTAACAATTACTGTAGTTGGTGGAAACTACTTGGAATCATTGTATTTCCCACGAAAAGTTTATTTTGACAGGTTAAATGAATATATTGTATTATTAGTGCTTTAAATGTCATAATCTGAACTCTAGATAATCATTGATTGTTCCTGTTATCCAAATAAATTCGTTTCTTAAATTGCATTAGCGTGAATTTCATTTCTCTGCCAATTTGATTTCTCTGCCAGGGCTTACAAATTGATAACTATATGTATCTGTTTTGCTGAATGAAATGAGTTTTTTTGTAGTGATAATTTTGAGAATCGCTTTTAATGTTCTGAGAAAATTGTCGATAGCTTTAGATTCCGATTCGCAGATTACTGCGGGCTTGTAGGAAATCCCAATATATTACAAAAGAAGTAAAACACATTTGCCATTAACAGCAATTTTCTGCTTTTAATCGTTTCAACGCCTTGTTGTTCATTGCAATTATTCGAGTCATGACTGTTTATGGAGAGCTAGCGTGAAATTGAACCCCCTTTTTTTGCTGCCCAAACAAATGCCTCGCGGCGCTTTGTCTCCTATAAAAGGCTGTAAACTTTTAAAATGAAAATACTCTTAACAGTGTTCTTGTTTTTTATGACTCTCAGTCCCCTTTTTTGGAAGTTGAGTCCTCGTGCAAGAATTGGCCATCCCAGGATTTCACGACCAGATCGTGATTCTCTGAGCAACAGCTGCTCTGGAACCCCATTCAAAAATCCCAACGACCTTTCCTTACTGTTTTTAATTAGTTTCCGGAGATCGGCATTATGTTCGACCCCACTTCTTTGTTTACAATGGCGTAAGTATACTGTACTGTAGTGGGCCCCTTTTGTGAGCGAGTTCCGGACTATAGACCTTCGCGCGAGAATGGAAACCAATTACTGGCACTACAATTACAAATCTTTTTTTTTATTCTTATTATTAAAACAATGGTGTTCATCCTTGTGCTGGGCAAGAACTGCCGTGTTCTGCTTGTCAACCTCTGTGTTCAAAGAAAATCCTGTACAGTACTTGGAATGTGATTCACCTATTTTATTGTTTTCAACTTCTCTGTTTTATTTTTCATTCAATGATCGCATTAATTGCAGTAATTTTTTATTTAATTATTTGAGAAAGAATAATTACTTCGAGTATACCTATGTTTTCTTCTTATAAAAGATCAAGGATCGAATGAATTCATGCCCTTCCTCCAGAAGAATGAAGAATGAATGTGTAATAAGATGTAAATTGGAACCGCTTTTGGAAGATTTTTTTTTTTTTGCGTTTCGAATATTTACCGAACGCACCCTAAAATGAATAACAATTACTTTTGGAAAATCAGTCTTTTATTTGCTGAAGTATCGGGTGTCTTTGAGTGTGACGCATATTTAATATTTTTAATTGAAAATGTAGCACAAAAAAAATGTGTTCCTACATAAGGCGCAGATCCCGAGTTTTCAATGATTTGTTGTTGTTGAAGTTTCAAGAATTGTGACGTTTGACATTTTAAAATTTATGTTGAAACCTCGATAACTGGAACTACCCTAAATCGGATGCCTTCCCTTGAATACGATGCATTAAAAACCTTAATGATTGAAAAGCTTTCTCTCTCAAATCTCCATAATTCGAGTTTTCTGGACGACACTTGGCCATTACAGTGTTTTATTGACACTGCAGAGAGAGAAGCAATAAAAATGTAACGATGCATTTTGGAAGGAAATTAAATACTAATTGGGCCAACGAACCCCTGCCTCAAAGTTCAGCATCCGGTCAAGTCATTTGAAGTCCACATTATAACAATTGAAATATCCTGTAAATTTTCTTTCTTCCCCCCAAAGAAAAATGTTTATTTCTCTTACTGGAAAGCTCCCTAATTCGGATTTTTTTGGCCCATTGAAGTTTGACTCATAGAGGGTTGACCGTATGCTAAAATGAAACGTTAATTCAAATTTAATTGTACTTCATTTCGCTTTGAATTATACCTGAAATGTCATGAATTAAGTTTTTGCTGATGCAACCATGACGTGCCACGTCGTTTTATTTATTTTTTTAATAAAAAAATATTTATTTTTATTTTTACAGGAAATGCTGATTCTTACACAATTTTCAGTCATCAAGGACACCCAATGTTTTGTCCCATTCCTGTTGGAATCAAGTATGATGTACCTTGAAAAAGTTTTTACAATTTTATACCCACATATGATGCACACCATCTTTTTTCCTCTCAATTTTGAAGAGTAGGGTTTTTGTGGTCATGAAGTGAATATTGTAACAATGGCTCACAGATAATTTTTTCAGCCCTTATAATGTCCACAGACACAGAATCGAAGAAATTGGTGTTTGGGATTGATGCAATCAATTCGAATAAATGAGTGAAATTTTGAAAATAGTTTATACATTTGTCAACCTAAGAAAAGCCATTAAAGACGTGTATACATTATTGTCAGACCCGAGGCAGATTTTCTTATTACACGCAAATTCGAAAAATTTTCAATTCTTTCTATTAATTGCATGGTTTGACGTCTCTCAATATCTGTTAATTGTATTAATCGACGTCTTCCCAGTTGTATTTATTTCATTTCCTTGCAATCTTGCCTCGTGTTGGAGAGCATTTACAAACAATCTGATTACTTGTGACAAAGCCTTCAAGGCATGTCATGACACTTCTCCACGAGTTCCTCAGTTGTCTGTCAGTCATTTTCCTATGACAACTGATCTCCGTTTGGAAGGTGCCAATCATTCAATTTTCTAATAATCACCCTTCAACAGTGACGGAAGACATATTGTCTTTGGTAGTGACTGATGCTTACCCCTTTTTTCGTCTTCAGGCTTTTAGGTCAAACCTGGGTATGATTTCACGCACACTATTGATCGATGGAACATTCAAGTTATTTTTATGTAAAGATTTAAAAGTACTGAAATTCAATGAAGAGGCACTTTTTGAAATCTTAAAGGATCAAGATAAACTGTTGGCCTTATATGATTTCTCATCAAAGATTCTCTCTATATTGTTCATTCAACTAAACCTCATACAGATGCAAGCTGAAGACCTTATTGTGCTTTGAATAAACATTTACTGCTACTTTGTATTCAAAGTCAGGAAATGGGCGGGTGTATGCATACATGTCAGATGTCCAGTTTTATTTTGTGGATTGTTCTCTTTTATTTTTGTCATCAACTTGAGCTTTGTTTCCTGCTTTGAAGTGATTGAATGTCTTTGAGGGGATTTCAGTTGGGTGGGGAGGGGTTTTGGATGACATTTGGTTGTGAATCATGGAAACTTCCTTCTGGTGGACTTTCACAGAGGATGAGACAGATGTCTTCTTTTTGGATGGTGAATCTGCTCTTTGATGTTTTGATGACACGGCAGAACTTTTGAATGCTGAAAAGCGGCAAATAAAGTGTTCTGTTCATTCATTCATTGAAATTCTGTACATATTAAAAAGTCCATTACCTAAAAAAAAATTGTCAAAGGTGCTGACGGAAACATCCCATGTACATGATGTTATAAAAAGCTCATTATGATTCATTTCAAATATCATGTAACAAAATTTCTCTTTTAGTTACCCTCCCATTTTCCCCCATACACTCATCAGATTTGTAAATTATGCACCAGATTTATCTTTGTGCAACTGAATGAAGTGACAATTGAATGTTGCAAAAAATATTTCCATGAACCTGTAGCAGGGGACTTTCAATTTTGGAAAAGTTGTCGCTTTTTGTGTACATTTCTGCTGCATTCTGCTGGAAAAAAAATTCATTTTACTCCATATTGTTCTAATATTGCCATAAAACATAGTGAAAAACGATTCAATCTTCTGATTTCAGACAAGAAATTATAGTAATTTTATTCAACAAGTAATTTTATTCAAGGGTTCCTGAGAGTTTGTCGTTTAATGCCTCTGCATTGGAAAACGCAATGCAAAATACAGTACAGACAAATCTTGCAACAAGGTATTGCTCATGAAGAATTCATATTTTGGGTTCTTCCAATAGATCAACAACGTTTGATTAAAAAGATTTCTCAGATTAACAAAAGTTTCTCGCAGGTCCTAATTATTTTCGAGTATTTCGTGCCCTTAAATGGAAGCTCTACTAAATGACAACGTCCCAGGCATAAAAACTACGCTCTCACAAAGAAATGTTCAGAATCACCCAATTCTTTTTCACAAGCAGTTTAGAAACGTGAAGGTTACCGAAACTTTCTATCAGGTTTTAAATTCGAGAAAATCTGCGTTCAAAATAATAAACTAACCTGCAATTGTGCTGGAAAATTCTAATTTCAAATACGGTAATACATAGACTGTCGATGCATTTTATTATCATTTTTTTGTGGTTCAAAGTTGCTGTTGTACGTATTCCCGCAGATCGCCTTCAATCGTCAGAAAAACGCAAGAACATTCAGCAGCGGAACATCAGAAGGAAAACCAACGTCATCAAGACGAAACCACCCACAAGTCCTTCAAACACATCGGAAGTCTGCACAGCAAACCAACAATAAAAGCAACAAAAAAAGCCCAGCACATTTCCTTTTTTTTTCAAGTGACGTGTGACGATATTAAGACAAATATCTGTTCCTTTTTTTGCAGTAACTATTTTCCTTTTCCTGTTCTAAGTTTCATCTCTTAATTGCGCGATGTTGGAGCAAAAGGTGGTACAAGGATCAGCAGCCAGAGCCGTGGAGAAATCCTCCAGCTCGTCAGTATCCTCGTCGCAAAAATTCGAAAGCTCTTCTTCTTCCACAAAAACGGTGAAACAATCATTTGTCACGAGTTCCTCGTCCAGCAGCAAAAGCACGAGTTCGGCGCGCCAAAAAATCGCTGCTGCTGCTGCAGAGTCTGTCGCAGAAACCAGCAGCAGCAGACAAATCACCGGAAGCAACGTTTCTGCTGCTGAGCATCGTCGAGAATCCGCAGCAGTCGCATCAGAAATTCAGCGAGAAGCCACGGAATCCCAAAGGAAATTCGCTTCAATTTCTGCAACTGCTGCTTCTTCTTCTTCGACTGCAGAAAACAGCAGGAGAAGCGACTTCACGGATCATCATCATCATCAAAGTCGAGAACCGGATGCCGAAGAATTCTGGAAATTCTCTTCATCCTCACCAGCTACTGCTTTGCATCACGACGACGATGACGATGGCAGTATTCATCGTCATCGGGATGAAGGACTCGGGAAAATGCCAGAAACCCCGATACACGTCGTGAAGAAAACGGACTCGAAATCGAGTCATCAGCATCAACACGTTCACGACTCAAAGTGCGTCGACTGCAACATTTGGTCGCCGTCTTTGCAAGCCCGCAACCGCAACAGTGTTGTCGAAGAATGGAAATCCCAGCTTCGGGCTTCCAGCCCCCCATCATCAGCAGCACCGAATGCTGCAAATAATCGTCAACACCAGGACACGACTAGGCATTCCTTCAGTAGCCGAAAGAGCTCATCAACGAGCACTTCAGTCAGGGACAACAACAATCATCCGCAGAGAAAGGCGTCGACTCTGGACCGGAATTTCCGCAAGGATTCCAGTAAGCAAACAAGGAAGGACTCTGACCTCGGGTCAATGAGTGTGGACAGCGAAGCCAGGAGAGAACATAAGAATGTCAAGCAGGTCGACGAGGACTGGAAGGCCTCGCTGAGGTCAGTCATCATCATCATTTCCAACAGTTTCACGAAGTCATTATAGACGGGTTAATTTAAATCAACATATATTGAAATTCTTTCGTAAAAAATTCATCCAACTCTCAAAAGTGACCAAGTGGTGTAACTTCTGCAGCATAAATACATTATTTTGTGCATCACCACCAGAGCACCTTCTCTTCTTGTGTCTGGCACTTCATATGGATAGAAATCAGCTTAAGAAAGATTTACAAGTATTGGAATTCAATGAAGAGACCATTTCTGAAATCTTAAAGGATCAAGATGAACTGTTGGCCTTGTATGATTTCTCATCAAAGATTCTCTCTAAATTGTTAATTCAACTAAACCTCATACAGAAGCAAGCTGAAGACCTTGTGCTTTAAATAAACTTTTACTGCTACTTTGTATTCAATGTCAGGAAATGGGTGGGTGTATGCATACATGTCAGATGTCCAGTTTTATTTTGTGGATTGTTCTCTTTTATTTTTGTCATCAACTTGAGCTTTTTTTCCTGCTTTGAAGTGATTGAATGTCTTTGAGGGGATTTTGGTTGGGTGGTGAGGGGGTTTGGATGCGGGAGTCTTGGTTGACGGAACACTTACGACTAAAGCGGCAAATAAAGTGTTCTGTTCATTCATTCATTGAAATTCTGCACATATTAAAAAGTCCATTACCTAACAAAAAATTGTCAAAGTTGCCAAAGGAAGCATCCTATGAACATGACGTTATAAAAAACTCATTATGATTCATTTCAAATATCATGTAACAAAATTTCTCTTTTAGTTACCTTCCCAATTTTCCCCCGTACACTCATCAGATTTGTAAATTTTGCACCAGATTTATCTTTGTGCAAATGAATGAAGTGACAATTGAATGTTACAAAAAATATTTCCATGAACCTCTGGCAGAAGACTTTCAATCTTGGAAAAGCTGTCGCTTTTCGTGTACGTTTCTGCTGCATTCTGCTGGAAAATTTTGTCATTTTACTCCCTATTGTTCGAATATGGCCATAAAACATATTGAAAAACTATGTAATCTTCTGATTTCAGACAAGATATTATAGTAATCTTATTCAACAAGTTTTCAAGGGTTCCTGATAGCTTGTCGTTTAATTCCTCTGCATTGAAAAACTCAATGAAAAATGCAGACAAATCTCGCAAAAATAAATTGTTTATAAAGAATTGGTATTAGAGCTTATTCCAATAGATCAACAATGTCTTACTAAAAATATTTTTCAGATTAACATAAGTTTCTCGCAGGTCCTAATTATTTTCGAGTATTTCGTGCCCTTAAATGAAAGCTCTACTGTATACTGAATGACAACGCCCCAGGCATAACAACTACGCTCTGAACAAGAAATGTTCAGAATCACCCAATTATTTTTCACAAGCCGATTATAAACGTGAAGGTTACCGAAAATTTCTATCAGGTTTTAAATTCGAGAAAATCTGCTTTCAAAATAATAAACTAACCTGCAATTGTGCTGGAAAATTTTAATTTCAAATACGGTAATGAAGACTGTCGATGCATTTTATTATTTTTTTTGTGGTTCAAAGTTGCTGTTGTATTCCCGCAGATCAGGAAGTTAGCAGTCTTTTTGCGTTCTTGTAAGTCGTCGCCTTGTAGTCTTCCTTTTGGTTGCAGTAGTTCTGCTTTGGTGGGTGTTCAGGAAGTTTGTGTAGCCTTCAGACGTGTCGTTTGGTTGTTCAGCAAGCAATAACGCAGAATCCAGCAGCAGGAGGAAATCCTCTGCCGTCATCGACACTTCCGCTCATCACAATAAATCAGCGACTCAAAAACCTGCCGATCGAAAGGACTCATCCTCTGCTCATCAGGACACCCGAAGGCCAAGCAAGCCCGTAAGTGAAGCCCGGACTGATTCGATTCCAGAGTATAGGCACTGATATTTTCCAGGTCTCTGCTTCAGATCAAGCCAAGCCAGCAGCAGCAACCGCAACCCGGATGCATCCGACTGCAGAAGCTGCAAACCGGGATCACCAACTAACACCAGCATCCGTCATTACTCAGACCTCAGACAGCACATCAACATTACACTACACCACCAGTACACAGACACAAGCGACATCTACTGCTGGGGCTCTGAGGCTGCTTGAGCCGGAGGTCGCCCAAGCCGTGTTGCAAAACCGGAGGAACTCGACTGCGTCGGAGCGACATCTAGAAACTGACAAGAAGCAAGTGTATCCTAGGAAAGCAAGCTTAGCCCTGTCTGAGACGTCCCAAACATCCGAACACCAGCAGGAAATCATCATCAACAACAGTTCCCAGTCTGACCAGAAACTAGTTTCTGATTCCTTCGCTGAAATCAAGACCTCGTTTGAAGAAGAACACAGAGCTCTTTTAGGTCTTCTTTAGGGGTCGATAGGTAGACAACTTAGGGGTCTTTAGTCACCGAGAAACTGATTTTCGTTCTTGTCGTCGAGACACTTTTGGTGCTCCTGAAGGTAAAGACTTTTCCGTGCAAGATGGATGGGCGTTCAGAATAATACTAAGTCAGCCACTGAATCAAAAGAAACTCAGCATACCTTCGAAACATCAGAGAAAAAGCCAGCTGAACAATCTGGTCCCAAAAATGTCAAACAATTTCGAACCCCTGGACGAAGAACCAGTTTTGAAACATCTGAAAACAAACCGAAAGAGGATTCAATTCAAACTCAACACCGCAGGGCATCTTCAGCTGTCCAAGAAGACAAAAAAGCCTCAAAGTCTGCTGAACTGAACTCTGCGGAAAAATCTTCCAAAAACAAAAAGGAACACACAATTTCTTCAAACAGCTCCTCCCAGATGGAATCTTCCAGATCAGAAAACTCAAATTTGGTCACCAAAAATTCTGAATCCAATGTCAATAACTCTTCCAAAATCTCAAAACCTGTCCCGAAAAAACCATCCAAGCCTGAAAGCGCTTCCATCACAACTACAGACACAGACATTAAAGAAAAACAGACATCAGTCGACTCTGGAAAATTGAAGAAAAAGAAGATGAATGTCATCACAAGCCTCATCAAGTCCACTGTTGAAACAGTGTCACGAATTGGCAGCAAAAAGGACACAAAGGGATCAATTGTACATCACAAGACATCAAAGGACATTTATAGTGACGGAAGTGACACTGATGGATTTGACTTGATTTCAAAATCAGTGCAACTCGAAGTCAGTTTCGCAGAAAAAGTCCATCTCTAAGCAGGACCAGCATCAGGAATCTGGAAACAGTTTTCAGAAAGATTCAGAACAACGGTCTTCATCCAGAAAATCCTCAACAGGTGTGTCATCCAGCAGCATCAGACAAAATCAGGAGACAGCAACTAACTCAATGCAAACTAGTGCCAAATCTTCAACAAATGAAGACAGAAGCAACAGCTCTTCAGATGCAAGGAAATCTGATTCAATCAGTTTTCAGAAACAGGAGAAAACCCGCCATTCTCAAGAATCACGCATAACTGATACAAAATCAGAAGAGACAACTGGTACTGAAAGTCATGCCAAGAAAAAGGTTCAAACAAAACATGCATCAGCATCAGGCAAAACAAATACTCAACAGACAACAAAATCTGGAGACAAAATGGCTGTTCATGACACAGAAAGCAGTTCTCTGAAACCTGAAAGTGAGACAAAACCAGGAATTACGGTATTTCGACTTCTCCTTTCAGACGACTTTCTTTGTTCGTAAAGACGTCCTTGTAGTAGACTTAGGTTTAGATGGGACTTTGTACAGTCGTGAGTTCTTTAGGTGTCAGTACTTTAGAGATCTTTTTCCCATACTCAAGCTTCAAAAACAGAATTTGCAGAAGAAACTTCATCCAACAAACAATTTAAAAAAGAGAAAAACAGCCAAAAATCCAAAGATTCAGTTTCAAGACGGCACAGTAGTTTTGTAGTTGCTCGTCTAAGTGGTAGGTTTTTCTTCTGTAGACAGAGTAGAAGACACTTTCAGGTCGTCTTCCTTCAAAGGTACTAAGTGTTGGTTTACAGTAGGTTCTATTCCAATGTTAACCAACATGACTCAAGTGCTGAGTCAAAAGCTTCACCCAACATCAAGCAAGACACCACAAGCAGTCCCAGAAAATCCAATAGCAGCAGCAAGTCCAATACTTCCACTGCTGCTGGAAGCTCAAAAATTGTTTCAAAATCTTCTCAAGAAACTTCTGAAGTCAAGGAATCATCCATCATTCACCAGCACAAAAAGGAGAAAAAAGCATCTTTGTCAGTCAGGGATGAGAAGCATAAGTCAAGTCATGCCAAGGACAGTCACACTACAAGTGTCTCATCATCAGAGTCTCCTCAGCAGCACCATCAAGAAAATACTTCAGAAGAGCACAGTATCAAGACCCAACAGATGACAGACTCACATCATCACAAACATGATCCAAAAGTCATTGCTGAAGCATCAGAAATTCTTCATCATTCAAGTTCAGTTTGTGATGAAAAACACAAATCTTCTGTTCAAGAAACATCAGTTTCTTCAGTGATGCTGGTGGAAGAACAAAGGCAGGCCAGGCTCAGTTTAACGCTTCCCCGTCTAACGCCAAACAAGGATGATGCCAGGCCTGCTTGGCAAAGACTGGTTGGACCTGGTTCCAGGTCACCCACTTCCCCCACCAGGAAGGGCAGTGTGCCCAGCAGCAGCGAGGAATCTTCTCACCTTGAAGAAGCAGGTGATCACGTTATATCATAAAACCTCAACAATTCCACGAATCAAAAAAATCACTCACAATAGGTTGAGGTTTTGATTGATTAGTCGCAACATTTTAACCAGTTTGTACATATATATATATGACGCAAGGAGGATAATAAACTATTGATCAAAATGCTAAACGCGGTTGTTTCTGTTCATTTTTGAGTTTGTAACTGCATGATGTCCTATTTTTTGAAATACCGCAGATTCCTAAATTTCTCAAATTTTAAGAGACATATGAATAATATGTACCCTCAATTTAAGTACTAGCTTCTCACTTCAATCATCAAACACTAAAGCAAAGCCTCCAAGACACTTTTAAAAATTGAAATTATATAATTAAAAACGGATCAAAACATTTACTGCCTAGTGATGCAGCTCTATTCTTCTGGATTATGAATTGACAGTACAATACATTTGAACCTCTTTGACTTAGGAAGTTTTTCAGTTAGGGAAACTAATATTTTTGTTGTAAAACTATTTAAATACAGTAAGGAAAAACTGGTGATATTCTAGGCCATGAACTGCTGGGTAAATGCATCAAAAGTATGCTAAGCTTGGAGACAAGCGGTAAATTGCCCAATAAGTGACTCTTTCCCTTCTTAAAAGCATCAAGTAGCATTTGTTTTTATTTTTAGGGTTCCCAGAATAATAGCTAAAAGGCCAATGCAGAAATTTTAGCTATAGAGGCTTTTGAAAGTCCTGGAGTCAGGGAGGCCTATAATGAATTGTTTTCAAAGAACTTCAGGCAGGGACTAAACACAAAATTGACATAGAGAGCTTTTCAACTTAAGAAGGATCAAGTAATCAATTTCCGGCACTTTCCTGTTATCTCAGTACCTACTTTCTGTGCACCTACCAGAAACTGTGAATTTCATTTTTCCTCATTCTGCTGAAACTGATTTTGGGAGGTGGTTAGGTGAAGTTAGGTTATTTGTCTGGATGGTAGTGATGTAGTTCCTTTTCTCTTCAACTAACGTGATTAACTAACTTTTCATCGCACAAATACTGAATTCACAAGACACAGAAAAATGGGTACTGAGATAACAGGAAAGTACCCAATTTCCACCCGTATTTTCCAGTTTTGAGTTCTACAAAAATATTTTTTCTAATCTAAGGGAAGAATCAAAGATGTCTCAGCACATCATCAAGCATACAAAAAACTTTGAAGTTCAAGTTGGAAAAAGCTGGAGAGGAGTCAAAGGCAATTCGAAGCTGGAGAGGAATCAAAGGCAATTTGCTGCTTGCTCAAGAGCAAGCAGCAAATTTACTTTATTTCCTCATGTGACACACATCATCCTTGTGTGAAACAAAGCATCATGATTTTGTAAAGGAAGTTTTGAAAAGATTGCTTTCATCCCTGTTGAAAGTTTTACAGGTGGATGATTCTCTCTACAACAATCTTCTCTACAATGGCTTTCTCTGTTGAACAATTTGTTTTGCATGGTCCCACAATGCTCTCTACTGATGCTCTAGGGTTTCTCTACAAGAATATGCTCCCTAGAATTGTTTTTCTTCTGTTCCCTTGAATGTTGGTGTGGAGAGAATCCACCTGTATTTGTGTAAGACATGCAACAATTTTTCCTTGCCAAACTTGAGGGGAACATGAAAGATGCTCTTATAGTAAATGGCTAAATAAGTAGTTATGAATGCCTGCACTTTGCTTTCTATAGGAGGTTCAACAAGCAACAACAGGACAACCAGCAATGAGCAACACACTTCAACCCCGAACACCAGCAGACTCCATGCCAGTGGCTCCAGCACCCAACTCCTGTCCCCGAGTCTGGCACTAACCCTCTCATCAACCCTCACCAATAAACAAACTGCTCAAACCAGTGACCATCAGGAAGTCCATCATGTCTGCTCAACATCAGCAGACACCAGGTCATCCTCAGCCCGCAGGACATCCACCAAAGAAGCAATAACCCCTAGACGGGGTTCGACCGGCGGTGGTTCCATGGGCGGTGGTTCGCCAGTCACCGACAGGAAGTCTTCCACGACATCCTTGTCGTCATCATCTACAGCTGCCGCAACGACGTCGATGTCGATGTCGATGACGAGACGCAGTTCGCATCGCAATGCGTCGGTGCAAGAAGAATCTTCTTCTTCTTTCGTGAGACCTTGTGGCTGCAGGCGCAGGCATGGATCACTTGTCCCAGGACAAAACATTCAACAAACAGGTTAGTTTTCTTTGTAAAATAAAAATAAAAAAAAACAGTGTGGTAAGTCATGTATGAACAATGCATACAACAATCCTAAATTTTTCCCTCGAAAATGTATTGACAAAATAAAAAGGCATTCAAATGCAGGATGATTCCTCATGCAAAAAAAAGAGAAAAAAAATTTCTGCTTTTGTTATGCAGAATTTTTCTTATATGAAACACACTGTTTCCCCTCGAGTCAATTTGTTCTAGACACTGACCAGAAAATTATAATGAACCGCAGCATATTTTTCAGAATGAAATTTTGAAATCAACGGTAACTACTGTATTACAAAAATGCAGCAGTCCTGGCAACTTTTTGCTCTTAACTTTCTGATTGTCGCAAATTTTAAAGACAAGAAGATGAAAAATTACTGCTTATCCTTTTTTTTCACAATTCCCTCAATTTTCAGAAAAATTTACAAGTTTACTTTAGCATTGGATGGAATTTAAGCAACAATTTTGTTATGGGAAACAATTTCGTTTTGTGATGAATTTTTCTGACCAAAAATGTTTATTTACTTTTTTCTTGCCCATGTATTGTATAACGATGTGCAGGGACACTGTCAGTGCTCATTTTCTCTCCAGATAAGAGATAAATTGTTATCTACTTCAAATTGCACATCCATCATAAATGTAAAAACATATTAGTTTGAATTTCAGTCTTCAAAACGTCTTACCCATTGAAAGACGGATTCCCCAAACCAAAACAAAGTTTTCACTTCAGAAAAATTATTCATGCAATGATCTGTGTCCTGTTCAACAAACAAAGTATATACTGTACCTCAACCGCAAATAACCCACTTTTGCAGATGACGTTAAGTGTTCTCCTCATCTGTTTTACTTTAAATGGGAAAACGGAAAGAATCCAGACAAGGTCGGGCTTCCTTTTGCCTCGTTTCCTGGCTAATGCAGCTTCATTAAATCCCTACCTAGCTTCATTAGTATTCCGATCCTGAGGTGCGGAAGTGCCCAGTGTTCGCGTTAATTAGGCTGACGAGCTCGTTCGCGATGATTACGCAAGAGTGCAAGACACGGCCAGGTGTCTGGTACAATCAGCTACTGAGTGCCCAGATTCCCATTCAAAAGGAAACTTCCTGTACTGAATTTTAAAAAAAATTGTTACTCTCCTGTTATCTCAGTACCTCATTCCTAGACCACACTACCATCCAGACAAATCTTTAGGATGAGTTCATAATCAGGACGACCTACCAGAAACTGTGAATTTTATTTTTTGCATTCTGCTGAAACTGATTTTGGGCGAACGTTTCCATTGTGAAGCTAGATTAAAAATAATCTTCGTAGTTAGGTGAAGTTAGGTTAGGTCAGGTTATGTTAGTTACAAATATCTTTTAGTGAACATAACCTGACCTAACCTAACTTTACCTAACCCGCCTCCCAAAATCAGTTTCAGCAGAATCCCAAAGAAAGATAAAACTTATTTTGAGAGGTGGTTAGGTGAAGTTAGGTTAGGTCAGGTTAAATTGATCAGAGGGAAGGTACAGAGATAACAGGAAAGTAGGTACTGAGCTAACAGGAAAGTACCACAAAGGTATTCGTATATAGGATACTGTACATTCATGTCAAGACAATTTTGACGTTATTGCTGCATGATATCATCAGTTCTCAGCTCCTTGAAACCCCCTTCCTAGATTTTGAGTAAAATGAAAGATTTCCCAGAAAGATTGAGGTCTTTATCGATCCAATGTTGGGTGCATGGTGAACAATGGTTTTTCGGTTTTAAAATAAAATTATAAATCCGTTGGCTTATCTGTTGAGAGAAAAATTTCCCACGAGTATTATTGCTGTGGTAAAAGATGGGGAGAAGAATAAGTGGTCATTAAATAACTATAGGAAGGCCATCTTTCTCAGTAATTGCTGGTGAACTTATATTTGGCATAGGGCAGAGAATGGTATTTTAGTATACTGTACTCTCTAATATTAGATTCAGTGTACTGCACAGTAAAGAAGTGCAGTTTCAATCACTTTTGTTATTTTTAAGCGCATTGAAATGTTACCAGAAGCAAATGAAGTTCATTGCATTCTTTATAAAACATCTGCCAAAATATAGCTGGAAGCATTCTAAACCTGCGTTCACTTCTTATCCAAAAATGTAACAATGTTGTCTTTTATATTTTGAAAAATATACAGGTACATTATTTTTCAAATTGTTTGATCCGTTTTATCTTGGAAAATAAGCTTGCTTTTTGGGAGTGTTGATTGACATTTTAGTCAGGGATTCTCCATGATTTTGTCGACTCCAATGGGTTTTCTATTGTTGATAAAATGTTTAAATAATATTTATATATTTATACATTAGCTCGCTGTTTCAAGTTTAGGTGCGGCTGATGTTTGCTTAAATACTGTACTGTACAATGATTCACTCAGAATTCGTACCTAAATACTCGTGAGAACATCTTGAATTGAAACCCTTCTGGCCTGAGTGAGCAATGAAGACATTTTACTCACAAACTTTCCTTTTTTTTCTCGAATGGATTTTCTGTTGACTTTATTAATAAAACGCTAGCTGTGTAGAATTGAGGTGCGGCCGATATATATAGTGGCGCGAATACAATGATTCACTCAGATTCGTACCTACACATAGGCGGGAAAAACATCTTGAATTGGATACTACACTGGCCTGAGTGAGTTGAAGACCTTTTACTCACAAAAATGTTCCTTTTTTTCGGTACAAACAGGTTTTCTGTTCACTTCCTTGATAAAAATGCGTATGTGGATAAATGAGCTTGCTTTTTGGGAGTGTTGATTTACATTTTAGTCAGGGATTCTCCATGATTTTGTCGACTCCAATGGGTTTTCTATTGTTGATAAAATGTTTAAATAATATTTATATATTTATACATTAGCTCGCTGTTTCAAGTTTAGGTGCGGCTGATGTTTGCTTAAATACTGTACTGTACAATGATTCACTCAGAATTCGTACCTAAATACTCGTGAGAACATCTTGAATTGAAACCCTGCTGGCCTGAGTGAGCAATGAAGACATTTTACTGACAAACTTTCCTTTTTTTCTCAAATGGATTTTCTGCTGACTTTATTAATAAAACGCTAGCTGTGTAGAATTGAGGTGCGGCCGATATATATAGTGGCGCGAATACAATGATTCACTCAGATTCGTACCTACACATAGGCGGGGAAAACATCTTGAATTGGATACTACACTGGCCTGAGTGAGTTGAAGACCTTTTACTCACAAAAATGTTCCTTTTTTTCGGTACAAACAGGTTTTCTGTTCACTTCCTTGATAAAAATGCGTATGTGGAATTGAGGTGCGGTCGATATAGTGGTGTGAATCATGAAATGATTCATTTGGGTTCATATCTAAATACTGTATTTGTGAAAACGCCTTGAATTATAAACCATACCAGCCTCAGTTAGTGCCATGAATACCCTTTACTCACGAAATTCCCTTTTTATGGTGAGGAGCTTTTTGTTTTCTATTTTGATAAAAATGTTGGGGTTGAATTGAGACCCGGCTGATGAAATGTAGTGGTGTGAATACAATGATTCACTAAAATTCTCATCAAAGATTCTCTCCAAATGGTTTAATCAACTAAAAATTTTCTGGGAGCAGGCTGAATACCTTGTGCTTTACTTTGGGTTCAGTAATTGCCTCGTGCTGCAAATTGTATCACTGATATTTTCTTTTTGTGATCAGGGAGGGGACAAAAGTTTAAAGATTTACAACAGTTGTGAAATTAGACATGTCATACAGTTGTGCAAATATCAGTTGTGCAATTCCACATGTCCATGTTGTACAGCTTATTCCTCTATTTTTGATTCTGATGTGATGGAATGTGTTTAAATGAACGTGGGTGGGGAAGGGGGGGAATTTGGATGTGGGAACATTGCTTGAACCTTGTGAATGCTGAGAAGTGGAAAATAAAGCTTGCTGATCATTCAATCACCCAGATTCTCATCTGCATATGCAGGGGTTGCTTCATAAGTTTTGATACTTCTTTAACATAGATCCAACAGAGTTTGAAAAATTCCAAAGGAAAATTTTATTCAGAGAGCTTCATCATTTGGCAACACTTCAATGCTGTTGAACTTACTCCCTGCCAATTTCAAAAACGTTTCATGCAATACATTCAGCAATCAAAACAGAGCCAAACATTGAGTTCCTTCAATTGAGCTGTTCTTCATCCACGGCAAAAATTAGGCTGTACCTGTCCTCAAAATCAAGTCCTTTGCAAATTGTTCTTTGCTGTCAGGAGCAGCCAAAATCAAAGGGCTCCTAAAAAATTAACAGAACTAAATTGTTGGCACTGTTTTGATTATTGGACTTATTGCATGAAAAATAAGCATTGAAATTGGCATAGAGTAAGTTGAACAGTGCTGAAGTGATAGCAAATGATGAGGCTATGCAAGTAAATATTTTATTTTGAATTTTTGAAATTCAGTTGGATCTATGTCTCAAAGTCTCAAAACTTATGAAAGAATCCTCGTACGTGAGGGGAAAACATGTTGAATTAGAAACCACGCGGGCCTGAATAGGTGAGTGAGTGATAAAGCACACCTGGGTTTGGTTCAAGCGTATATATCAGTATGGGTTAGTCCAGCCCGCTTTTGGTCAGCGACAATTTGTACGGGCACTTTGTTGATCACGTCCGCAGCATAAATCTACCCACACTCTCACAATGATAACTTGAAGCCAGTGTCCTCAAGGCGTCTGTGCTTAACGGAGTCGTCGCCATCAGACGTGACTCACTTCACCAAGCTCAGTTCAGTTCACTTCACTTCCCTTATATTCACTGCACTTCGCGCCTACGAGTTGACTCCCTTGACTCCAGCGCCGTGGATGAGGAATTGATGTGGCGCATGCTTTGGCTGCCTTGAACCTACTGCTGTGTCTGATTATTCCAAGCCCAGGAAGGGGGTTTTAGACGACGAAATAAAGTGTTGGTGTGCCAGTAAAGAATTTATGGAATGTGTTTTTTCTGTGTTTGTGAAACAAA